TGCTAACTTCCACACAAATTCCACCCCTGCATCCCCAGTGTTTGTCTTAATTGGAAGTCTTAAAGGTGAATTGAAATGTTGTTGGAGTAAAAACCTGTTTAAGATGCCAAATCCCTGCGCAGACTTGCAAGTAAATAAATTGTAAAGGATGACTAGCGACCTTCTTATTAACCTGTCAAACCACCAGCCCTGGAATCTCTTTTTCTCCTGCAAAAATTGTGCTGTCCTCCTTCCTCTTATGATTGAGGTGCTTCACTGCCTCACGTGCCTGGCCACAGAGATGAGGATGTTTAGGAAGGTGATGAGATCTCCTGGCTCATCCTGAAGATGCCGTGGTCCTTCTTGGCAGGAAGGGCTGGGGCTACCTGCAAGTGGTGGGAAGTGATGGATTATGACTTTTGGGTGTAGTATTGGTTCAGTTTTTCATACTACTGCCCTAATAACCTTCTTTCTGAATCAGATTTTTTGGGGGTTGGGTTGGTTGATTCCTTTTGGAAGAAGCAAACAAACTCTGTATGAGGATCTTGGAAGTTATGGAGCAATTTCACCTGAAACTACCTGAGATGTTCTGCAAAAGGACAACTCGGTCATGTCCAAACTGAGCTGTAAATCCATGTCCTTCTTTTCCTGGCTCCCTTCTGGAGCTAATGAGAATGGCATAAAATAATTATAGTTTCCTTTAAAGCTAATTACAAAGCTCAGCACCTGAGGTGTGAATGCCCAGCCTGAGTGAGTGTTTGGAATTGTTGCTGTCACAAACTTCTCCCACTGACTGCAGCGTGTTCTTAAATGAACAATTCCAAAGTGCCCAGCACAATGGATGTCAACTGTCATGAAAGGCTGGGGTGCCAGTTCAAAAAATAAAGTCACAACAACAAAACTAATGTATAAATGAGTGTGCCAATATTTGCATATGTTATTAAATAGTTGCTGGTGTTTGTGTCCCATTGTCACCCTCCTTTTCCCAGAAGGGTGACACTTCATGTTATGGAGGCATGGAGTCAGGGATGTAAAGAATAGAGTCCTCCTGAGATATAAATATATGTATATTTATTTATATATATAAAATTCCACTGTAATCCACAGATGAAAGAATTGTGGTCTATTTCAAGGCTTTTCCTTTCATCCTTTCCATAGTTTTCTGCCAATTCTCAAAGTGCTCCCAGACCACAACTGAACGAAATGATCTGAACGGGGCTGAGCTGCAGCTCCTGACGCTCCCTGTGCCATTCCCCAGAGCCACCCCTGTCCCCTGACCCCACAGTGCTCCCTGCCACCTTCCCTGTGCCTGCTGAGCCTTTGCTTGCCTCTCACAGCAAAGGAAAAATCCCACCTGAGGAGACAGAGCTGTTGCAAAGATTGGCACAAATGCACCTCCTCCTTCTTATTGGCCTGACCTGCTGCATTCAGGACATAAGAATAGAATAGAAAAAAATAGAATAAAACTATTTATTCTCATATCTCCTGTCCCTTTCAAAGAAACATGTTATTTATGCTGTACTTGCTCCTGAAACTCCACTGGAAAATAAAGCTGGCACCAAGTGGAAAATGTTTTTACCTGAGTTAGACAGAATTCCTTTCCTACAGAACAGCATTGTTACATTTAAAGGTGGAATTCTTGTTTTCCACCTTACACTTTAAAAATCCACGGTGCAATCAGATTTACACCGGGTCTTTCTATGGATGCACAGATTCTGGGAATGCAGGGAAGTTCTACCCTCACTTCCAGCTTCCACTCTGGAAGTCTGAACACACTGGTGTAATTCCAGTTGAACTTCAAGGGGGAAAAGGATGATTGATATGGCCTCAAATGGTGGAATCAAAAAAATCTGGTATAGATTAATAGGAATATTAGTGAAAGCTGGAAAGGAAAACAAGGATTCTTTTCTAATGTGACATGATACTTAAGAACACACATTGTCAGTAACTACAAATGTGTAATGTTTCTCTTTTATTTTGCTGTACTTCTGACACGATTCTCTTACAATGCTTTGCTTATCATCCTCTTGTGAGGTTTATTGTACTTACAAATCATTCCCAGACAGCTCCTTTGCTATCTTTTCATTAAAAAAAAAAAAAAAAAAAAAGAATAAGAAAGTTTTGTGGATAATACATTTTCCCTGCGGGAACTAATTCCACAAAGATATTGACTACAAGCCTGTCGTTGTTTTAAAATATGTGGCCATGTATCAAATGGTTGATTCTTCTCCCCAGAGTCACCTTCTGAAGCTTTATGTGTGCACTTCATCTCCCAGGCATCCTGAGACCACAGAGGAGAAACTCCAATTTGTCCTCCCAAGCCAGTGCTTATCCCTACCTGGAATTCTTTTTGCCATCAGATCACTGTAGCCACTCCCTGCTATACATTTTGGGGTCTTTAGGGCCCTGTCCACTCCAGTTCCTTTGTTTAATATATTTTTAGCCCTTCCACTGTGGGATGACAGACTGCAGCATGTTAAAGCAGGGAGAATATTTGTATTGATTTCCAAATGCTGCAGATTGAGAGCAGATGTACCATGTATTCCCCAAACGTATGTTTTAACTTTCATTTATGTGCTGTGCTGAGCAGCCTGCGAGCCAGGAAGTGATTTATATCTGTTAATTGCATGCACTTTGGTAGATTTGCAGCTAAAAATAAGTGGTTTGTTTTTTAATTATGCATGATTTATCCTCTCACGCTGCATGGAGCTAAAACTTCGAAGCTAAAAGAGAACTTAGAGAATCTGCATTTAGTTTCTGCATCTGCCACGGACTTTTTTTGTATCTACTGGGTTATCCATGTGCAGAATCTGGATGTCATGGACATCTTCCTTCAGAGGGATGAAGGAAACACTTCTGTGTTGCAGCTGAAGAGGTGCAGCAGCAGCTGCTGCCAAAAGCAGCGGTTCAGTGGAGACCCTGGAGAAGGGTCCCCCTCACCTTTGCTGGATCCAACACTCCGGCAGCTGTGGGGAATGGCACCCAGCTGCTGATCCAGGAGAACATTGCTCCCATCCCCTCTCACCAGGGGGTTCACTGAATGGACTGGCCTGGGGCAACACAAGGAAAACACGAGGGGTTTTCTGTTAGATCAGTCAGAAGTAACCTGAAATGTCACCTCAGAGGGTCAGGGCAGGCAAGCCTGGGCTGGTGTGGCAGCACTGCAATCCCAGCTGCATGGCCTGACCTTCCTGCAGGCAGAGCCCCGGTGGTATTCCTGGTATTCCCTGTCTCCAGGACAAGTGTCAGGCCCCTGAGGGCACTCAGAGCTCTTAATGAGTCCCACTGCACCTTGCCTGGGGTGCCTCTTTAAGCTCAGCCCCGGCCCCCTTGGAATCTGTCCCTGCAGCATCCCTGTGCTAGGCTATGGACCCTCCTGATGCACCGACTGACCTCAGGCCTGTCACATTCCCTGTTCCACCTCAGGCCTGTCTCATTCCCTGTTCCACCTCAGGCCTGTCTCATTTTCTGTTCCACCTCAGACCCGTCACATTCCCTGTTCCACCTCAGACCTGTCTCATTCCCTGTTCTACCTCAGACCTGTCTCATTCCGTGTTCCACCTCAGACCCGTCACATTCCCTGTTCCACCTCAGACCTGTCACATTCCCTGTGGGAATGTGGTTTTAGACCTCTATCTCCTTCCCTAACACGCTGCCAGATGTTTATCTGTGTTTCTTCCTCCTCTTGAAACTCTGTTAGTGTCTGACAAGAAATACAAGATTCATATGGCAGAAGAAATGCCTAAGGGATCTGATCTAGCAGGAAGTGAGGAGGAAATTCCTTTAATCTTGTCCTTGTTTCCACTCTGCTTATGAGCTTTTTATTAAACAGTTGCTGACTTTTGAAATCCTAAACCTAATCTAAGCATCCTAGAAACGTGATCATTCTCCTGGATGGAAAGTAGTTATCACTCCTAGTAGCTTCAACCAGCTTGGGCAGTGTCCTCCGACTCCAGCAAAAATGTTATCCATTGTTGGCAGGAGGGAACTCCAACCCTCCAGCCCAAAATCTCCGTTTCCAGTCACCAGAGAGAGAAAAGCATATCTGTGGTCTGAGCTGGTTGACAAGGTGGAGATTGATCACAAGTTGGACTTGATGGTCTTGGAGGTCTTTTCCAACCTCAACACTTGTGTGATTCTGTGAAAAGCGTGCCCCTCTGAGTGCAGTTATCCCATAGACTGCGGTTCCAGGATGCGGGACAGAACCTTGGGAAGGGGAAGGGACAGAAACCTTTCCCGTGTGGATGCACTGGAACACATTTTCTAAGAAGATTGTGGAGTCTCTCTCACTAGAGATATCCCAGAACCCTCTGGACACAATCCCATGCCGTGTGCTCCAGGGTGTTGGAGAAGGCAGGCTGGACCAGAACACCCGCAGTGTTCCCTTCCTACTCAATCAATGATTTGATAATCCCGCAGGCGATTCTGTGGGAAGCGTTACCCCTGCAAGGGCGACTATCCCGCAGGGAGCGACCCTGGGGAAGGGAAAGCGCGACAATCCCGCAGGGAGCGACCCTGGGGAAGGAAACGCCGCAATCCTGCACCTCCTGTCCCTCGGGACGGGAACACCGCGATCCCGCAGGGACTGTCCCTCAGGAAGGGAACGCCGCAATCCCGCACCTCCTGTCCCTGAGGAAGGGAACGCCGCGATCCCACAGTGATTGTCCCTCGGGACGGGAACGCCGCAATCCCGCACCTCCTGTCCCTGAGGAAGGGAACGCCACAATCCCCGCAGGGACTGTCCCTGAGGAAGGGAACTCCGCAATCCCGCAGCGCCTGTCCCTCAGGAAGGGAACGCCACATCCCCGCACCTCCTGTCCCTGAGGAAGGGAACGCCACATCCCCGCACCGCCGCCCTCAGAGCTCTGAGGGGGCTCTGAGGGCGGGCGGCTCCTCAGACAAAATGGCGGCGCCGTGCGGCGCGGGCGGCCGCGCGGGGGCGCTGCGGGGCCGGGCTGAGGGCTGAGGGCTCTGAGGGCTGTGAGGGCTGTGAGGGCCCGGCCCCGCTCCCTCCCCGCCCGCGCCGCCTTCCCCGCCCGCCCGCCCGCCGGCACAGCGCGGGACGGAGCAGCGGCGGCCCCGCGGTGGATGCGGGAGCAGCGCCGGCTCAGGAATGCAGCAGCCGGGCGGCGCGGACGGGAGCCTCCCGCTGCTGCTCCCGCTGCTGCTGCTGCTGCGAGCGGGGAGCCGCGCCGAGCCCGGGGACGCCACGCAAGGTAAAGGGGGACGGGGCGGGCGGCGGTGAGAGCAGCCGGGCCGGCACTGAGGGGAGCCCGGCCTCCCCTGTAACCAGCTCGGGGTTTTATGCTCGGTCTGTGTTTAATTGCTTCGTCAAAAAGCTCTTTCCAAGTGTTGCGGCCGGTGAGAGTAACCATTGCCAGCGGTCCCGCTTTGCGGTCCGTGGGTGATGGTGCCCGAGCTGTTATCGCACTGGGGACTTGTCCCTCAGACACGGCTCTCAGTGCGTGTTCCGCCATCTCACCCCCCTTGTATCCCTCGAAAACGTTTATTTATTCATCTGTTTATTTATTTATCTGTTTATTTATCTGTTTATTTATTTATTTATCTGTTTATTTATTCTCAAGCGTCTCCGTTTTGCTTTTAGCGAGTTATACTTATCCCGCGATCCTTCTGCTCTATCAGGGTTCTGACTCCAGCCTCTTTGCGAGGGATTTATGTGTAAAACGTAGCGCAGCCCAGGCATAAAGGGAGCTCGGAGTTGGGATAGCTGGAATTGGAAAAAGAGTGATTCCTTCAGGCCAAGTCAGTAAAAAGTGAGCCGTGTTTTTGGACGCCTGCATGAGAATTTCACTGAGAGTTGGATGTACGTGAGCTCCGGCTCCTCCAGAGTGGTTTGTGGTGGGTACTTCAATCACAACCCACCTCTGAGAAGTGCTGCTTGATAATATGCCAGTACTTAATATTTCAAGAAGTGAAAAAAAAGCAAACGCTAAAGAGAAAAAGTTGATAGAAAAAGCTAAAATTTAACCCATTTTGTAAATACTGTGGGATAACTGCCTTTCAAAATGTGCTTGTAGCTAACAGGTAAAACTCTCTTGTCACATCCCTGAGCCTGGGTTTCTGCCGCTGTCCCTAAGGATGCTGTTCCCGGGACTGTGTGTGAGGGAGTGCATCTCTTGGAATGACTTCCCCCTGTCCCAGGAGTCTCGTGGTGCAGATTCAATGGCTGGATGCGTTCTAGTTTGGGTCGGAATTCTTCATGACATCTCAACGGGAAAATTTTCAGAAGTTGTTTTCTAGTGTCTCCAGGGAGTGCTGTGTATGCTTAACAAATAACTGTATTTTTTAAAGGGACAAAAAAAGGCTATTTCCCTCCTGTTTTTTTCAGATAGTTTCAAAGCTTTGGGCAATGCAGTTTTTTTTTTTTCAACTTTCAAAGAGCCTGGAAGGGAAAAATAAAACCCCATTAGCATAAAGCAACTGATCACATTGGGTCTAAAACGGACCATTTTTATTTTCTGTGCATTCTGCTGGGAAGTACCTATCAGAGAATGAATTCACCTTTATGTGAATATATTAATATTGTCATTATTAGTCATTATATGTTAATGTAGTCATTACAGTACAGGTCATGTAGTACAAGTCACATCAAGAGGGGCTTCAGCTCAATATAAGAAAGCATTTTTTTAATAGTGAGAACAATAACTCACTGGAATTACCACCCCAGGATGTAGTGGAATCCTTGTGGCTAGAGGTTTCCAAGATGAGACTGGATAATCTCAGCCAGGCTCCCTTTCCCACAAAAGGCTGGACCAGGTGATTCCTCCAGTTCCCTTCCAGCCTGGACCATGATCTGTGATTATGTACAGTTACTTTCCACAGTGAATTATTTCCTGTATTTTAAATAATATCTTTGGCAAATGTTTATAGTGTGGATTCATGGGCAGATCAAGTGAATTATTTATTTTTCATAGATAGACATCTATCACATGTTCAACCACATACTAAGTTTCCCCCCAAACTAGGTTTTGTGGAAGAATAAGGGAACCTGAACATCCAACACCAATTAGAAAAACCAAACAAAGAAAAAGCCTGTTCTAGAAAGTTTTACAGATTTCTTTAAGGCGTCTGTAGTGGTTGGGTAAATAGAATTTGCTCTATCAGAAACCCAGCCCAGATGGAATCTTCAGTCCCTACCCTTTAACCCTGACATGTTCAGAAAGAGAATGTGGACCACTGTCTCCTGCTGCTGCCTTTTTGTCCATGACCTTTCCTTGTAGGGAGCAAAACAACCCCAAAAGCTTTGTCCATTCACTGCCTTTAGGGTGCTCACAGCCCCAGCGTTCCAAATAAAAGCACAAAGTTAATGTCAATTTAAGGAACAGCACCTCTCCAGCTTGGATATTTTCTGCAGCATGTGGCTCTGGATATTCCCAGTTCAGCTCGATTATTGTTCTTCCAGATCGATGGAACTTTGCGAGGAGTCACAATGAAAGAAGTGTGAGTAATAGAAAAATATTTTAAAAGCTTGGAGTAAACCCACAGATCTCGAGATTGTGTTTTAGATTGTAGGGGTGCTGCTGATTTCCTTGAAAGTTGTGAGATAAAGTTCCACAGCTCTTGATTAGTCCCTGTGGTTAATTGTTTCATCCCTGGGTCACAGGCTGCTGCTTCAGCCACCTATCCAGGAATGAGTTTAAAAACAAACAAAATGCTTTTGTTGCCTTAAGCCTCTAAGAGGATGAGGGTAGATGTCACTGTTTGAGGTTGTAGCCTTGTATTTCTTGACAAAAGTGGCTTGAAGTAGCAGCAAATTATCTTCCGGACATCGTTTCTTTGTTTCCATAATTAACTTCTACTGAAACTGCTCTGTTAATTACGTCCTCACAGGGATTTAAAGTGTTGCAAATGAGAGTTAGGTAGGGGAGTATTATGGATTTAAGTAGGCAAAGAGAAGGGGGAAAAAAGAGTTTCCCTGAGGTGTGACACTGGATCTTGCTCTTTAGAAACAGATGTAGAAATCCAGCAGTCTGCTGGGACTCCAAAGAGCACCTCAGAGTTGAAAACTCTTTAAAAAAATCTCTAACTAAATGCAGCTGCTTTACGCACAGCGATTGTCTCGCAAGCCAGAAACATGTAGAAAGTTAACTCAGACAAAAGAAAAAGTGTAAACCTTTCCTTCCCCGGGCCCTGAAAACCAAAACCCTCTCAAGTCATCCTCAAGTGCAAATTCGCTGTTGTTGTGTGAAATGTTGTGTCTCAAGGACCAGCAGCCAGGAATCGCTGCTCTGAGGTGCTGTCCCCTCGGGTGGGCATCCCGGTGATGGGCGCTGTGGAAATGGCACATCTGGCACAGCTGGAGAGTCTCACAGCCGGCCGGGCAGAGGCGGAGCTGTGACACTCTTCACCCAGCCTGCATTTTGACACGCTCCTCCATACCGAGGTATTTAAACGAGCAGCAAATCCAGTTATTTTACCGTCTAGATGCTCTCTTTGATCCAGGTTGCTGCTTTTAAAAATTAGCAAACCCCGTGCTGTGTCTTGAAATCAGCTCCCTAAAGAAATTCTGGGTTTGCCTCAGCCCCAAACAGTTGAATAATGAAGTGACTTTGTAGGGTGTTTCTTGTTTCTTTTTCATTGTAATCAAGAAGATGTTGAAAGTTAATGAATCTGCACATTTATAAATGGTACAGCAGTGAAATGAATAAATGAGAGCAGTTGTCAATGGTTCTTTGTAAATAACAAAATATTGGTGTTAGCTGAAGGATGCTTCTGTGGGAGTGGCGATTGCAGTTTTACATCCTTTATGATGAAGTGCTTTAAAATTCCTAAAATTCTACATTTGGTGTAAAGTTTCTTTCAGTCAGGTGCTACAGAGGAGGTTAAATTTTTTTTTAAAGTTACAATTTTTTTTTCTGTCTGTTTATAAACAGAGTCACTGCTGTCCTTGCCAGGAGTGTGGCGTGTGAGAGGCTTGGACATGTTTAATGTCATTTAATTGGGCTGGAACGACAGCATAGCTGGGGGTGCTACACTGTGAAGTTTGCTAAGGTGGCAAAATGGAATAATTTCAGCTATATATATATCACTAGTGTGTGATGTGATGATAAAGCTCTAAATATTACTATTATTTAATAGTAAAGGTCTTTGAAGTCTGCCAGGGAGTATAATGTAAAATAAAAGAACTTGCCTATATTTGGACTCGAATGCAATGCAATATTGAAAATGGTGCTCTGCCAAAGTCAGGCAGCTTGGGGAAAAGAAGTAGCTTGAGAAAGGAACCCTTCAGTGAGGAAAGCAATAACCTCAGGCTGCTTCCATGCCAGCATCCCGGCGTGAGGAAGATTGCTTTCCAGGATCTCCTCCTGAAGTGGAGACACTGGAGTGCCACTGTTTCCAAGTAAATCTGCAGGGCAGCAGATGAAAGGAAGTGCTTGTGGAAAGAATCCCATGGTTTGTGTTGGTGGGATAGACACAGATTTGGAGGATGATTGTCAGGTAGGATTCCTGAAAAAATGGTGCAGAGTGGGTCACCAAGAGGAGCAGAGGGCACAGCAGTGCCATGGAGGAGGGACTGACAGGGATAAATGGGCTGTGTGTGCAGAGCTGCCCTTTCTCTGCTGGTTCCCAACCAGTCACTCTGTGGAGCTTCTGCCCGGGGCAGGAGCAGGACAAAGCTCAGGCCGAGGCTGCTTTGCTGCTTCACCGAGTTCCGTGGGCTTTTTGGGCTTGGTGTCTGCTCTGACAAACCCCTCTGGAGAGCTGTGTGCAGTCTGGGTGGTCAGAGAGGGTGAAGGACAGCACAGGATGGTCCTGCAGGGCATGTCCTGGATCATGGTGGTGGTGAGGGCTGGCTGCTGTGTCCTGTTGGCTGGAGTGTGCCAATTTGGGGGTGCTGGTCCAGGCTTGGCTTAACCCTCCTGGACCCTGCTGAGATTTTCTGATCTCTTTGCTCTTGTTACTCTGGGAAATGGCTGAGGCTGAGTCAGTGAAGGTTTAGGCTGGGTATCAGGAGAAAAGTTCTTCCCCCAGAGGGAATTTAGGCACTACACAGGCTCCTCAGGGAATGGGCACGGCCCCACGGCTGCCAGAGCTCCAGGAGCATTTGGACAGCATCTCACAGACAGGGTGGGGTTGCTGGGGTGTCTGTGCAGGGCCAGCAGTTGGACTGAATGATCCTTTGGGGTCCCTTCCAGCAGGATTCTGTGATTCTATGATGCCACATTGGAGACAGGAATCCTGGGTGTATTTATCATGCCCTGGGAATGTTGAAGGCAGAAATAATCTATCTGCTTTTTGTGTCAGGGAAAACTAAAACAAATAACAAATAAGGCAAGTCCCTGTGTGTACAGGCAGCCACTGTCCCCAAGAGCTGGAGCAGAAGTGCTGAGAACTTTGTGCAGATGTTCCATGGTCTCTATAACCCTGCTGATGCTCTGGGCTGTGCAGAGATGTGCATTCACTCACTCCCAGATATTTGGGACTAGCTTTAAGTTAGGGCTTTGCCATCCAAATACGCACTGGGAAAGTTTCATAACTGGGTGAGTCCTTGAGAAAAGTTCATGCAGGCTCTGGGGGAAGCCTGCATTTTATTAAAAGCTTTTTTTTCAAGCTGCTCAGGTCATGTGCTGAAACTGATACGGCACAAGGGCTTCCTGTGACCTTCTGCTCCTTCCCTCCCAGGGCTGTCCCCCTGTCCCATTCCCAGATGCTCTGTCTGTCTGCAGCACAGCCCTGAACATCTGCTCCAGGCAGATCCAGGAAGGAGCTGGAACAGTGGAGCTGGGAGCTGGAGCAGCAGCAGGCCATGGGAAATAGAGAGATCAGAGATAAACCAGGGAAAAATGCTTTGTAACCTCACACATTCCCTCCAGAGACTGGGAATGGAGCAGGGGATGCTCTTCCTACCCTGGGAACTTGAGGCTGGCTCTGGAAGGATGTGCATTTCCACAGCCACAGTGTGAACACTCCTCTGCAAAGCTGCTCTGGAGGCCCAATCCCTCCTGAAGCTGCTAAACTGAGCTTTAAAGGATGGAGGGTATGAATGTAATGAGCTACCTGAGGCCATCCATGCTGTGGCTGGTCCATCTACAACACCATGGATGCTCCTGCAGAGCAGTTCATGTGCTGGACAAGGAGGGGTTGGGATCTGGGTGGCCTTAATTTCAAAATTCTTGAGGACCTTTGGCTCTTACCATGTTGACATCCACTCCTGTGGAACATTTAAGGTGTAGAGGGGGTTTGATCTCTCTCTGAATTCAGCTTCAGGCATTCTGTCCTCAAAGGTAAGTGTGACTGTGAGCACACAGAGGTCTCTAGAAGACAGAAGCTTGGGCAGACTACAGAAAAATAAAATCAGTGTTAAAACTAAGACTAGACCTGGTTTTCCTCAAGTGAGGTCCTCTTTGCAAAACCTCTGTCAACCTGGAGAGGAATCCTCCTCGTTTACAGGGAATCTCTCACCTGTGACACCTTTTTGGAGTTAATGTCTATGTGAGCCCTGTGCAGTCTGCACTGCATTTTCAACAGCTCTTGCCTCTCCCAGTTTTTCCTGTAAGGGGTCAGTTATCATGGGTGAGCATCTCTTCTCCAAAATTAACTTGGCTTCCAATGAAAGGAAGTGTCTTTATAATTGCTTTGTTTACTGTGAAGTACTTGATGTGCTGTATAAGTAACAAGCATTCTGCGCGTTTTCATTTTCAATTCTTTTTTGTATATGTTAATTATTCATTCCATATGTTTGGATTTTTCTTTATAAAACACATTATCTCCCTGTGAATTTAATGAGAATCTGTAGCACGATGGAGACATCTCTTTTTCTCCAGAACATGCTGAGTGGAGAGAGAACCACGTTGAGCTCAGCTTTCAGTGAGTTTCACCTACAGTGACAAGAGGTCATTTAATTCCCAGCTGATTGTCAGGAAGATGGATTTATATCATTAAATGCTTTCAGGAGGCCGAGGAAGAGCTCCTGGTGGACCTTTGCTTCTGCCTGCTGGCATCTCTGGGGCTGAAACACTTCATGCTCACCAGAGGATGTTTCTGAACTGAGGGCCCCTGACTTTTACATTCACTTTTCTTGGCAGCCTGACAGAGCCCAAGTCTGGCAACCTTTGTAAGTGAGATGCAACAAGCCTCACTTATTTCAGCTATTGCTCTGTCACTGTGTTTTTAATTTACTGTAATTCAATAACTGACACAATGCTGGAGTAAATAAATGGGCTGTGAACATTCTCATAGACCTTGGGCATCCAGCTCAGGGCAAGATTTAGCTTTTAATTAACACTGTCCATGAGATTTATTGTTAAAATTGCATCCTTTTAAATAAGTCAATCTGAAGTTGATTAAGAGATGAATAATTGAAACCTGCTGTGGGGTAACAGAATGCATTCTAGTGGATGCAGCAGTGGAGCACCATTGGAGCTCCACATCCCTTTTCTCCTGAGTTTTGGGTCTTTCCCATAAGCTGGACGTTGTCATTAACTTTTCTGTGCAGGATTTGTTGCTCTGTGTTGAAAAAAAATATGTGTTCTTCAATATTAAGAACAACAGCATTTTACCTGTGTATAAACTGCATTCTTAGTACAGCAAAGAGCTTTAGGAAGGCCTTGAGACACCTTGGTAAAAACCCTTAAAGGGTTTTTGCTCCTTTCACTCCACTCTGCTACACAAATTCCCAAAAAGAGGCCCAGGCAAGGGAAGGTGCTGTAAAGGCATCCTCTCACTGGAGGGGAATCTTATTAGCAAAATTATATTTCATCAGGGATTAAAAGAAAATACTGACCTGATTTTCTTGTGTTCTATAGGGAGAGATGGTATCTGATTTGCCCTTTTGCTTTTGAGAGCCTGTTTGTAGGATGTGATTTATGTTCTTGCATTCTGTTTGTGATTGATCTTTTTTAAATCCTAATGAGTATTTCTGACCCCTGAACAGCAGTAAAATGTTCACAAACTTGAGAGTATTTTATATGCAGCACTTAGACAATTTTCTCTTAAAATCTGTTGTCTCTTTTCCCAGCAGCAAATATGGTCTTGATATGAGGAGCTGTGTGAGCAGCCCCTCTCATTTCAGGCTGAAAAACCTCCAGGGAATGTCAATATCAATATTTGTTGGTTGAGCTGTTCAGGGTGAGACAAATTAGGTTGGGCATTGAGTGAACTGGACCATTCCTTCCTTCCTGAACTGGTTTCACTGGGGAGTCACATTTGGCACTGATCACACTTGTGGCTCTGCTTTCAGCATTTCTGTAGGTCCTGATGGCTCTGGGGAAGTTCTTTGATCTGTCTTGAAAACTTCAAAAGTTGAGAGTTGGTACTGGGGGAAGGAGAAAAAGGTGGTCTTGGTGTCGATAGCAGGTACAGTGAATTTTCAGGGAATTCATGCAATAAGAAGGAGAGACCACCTGCAAACTGACAGCTTTTCCTTGCCATGAGGCCTTTGGTAATAATATCTCATGGTGGAAGTGACTGCTGTAAGCAGGACACCTTTACAAGTATTTTTGGGAATCTGAACATTTAAGGTTGCTCTCTTAAGTTTATGGGCTGTGTTTAGTTCCCTCATCCAAGAGAGAAGTCTCGATCCTGTTCAGTTCTCTCATCCAAGGGCATTCTGAAGGCTCTGGGCTTGGAGCTCTGAAGCACTGGGTGAATTTTTTGGTATCTTATATGTATTGTGGAGTACCTCTGGTACATCCAACTTTAAAAATCCATGGTTAGCTCTAAGAGCAATCCCCTTTTCTGGGAAGTTTTGACAGAATGCAGCAGCAAAGTCTTAACTGGAGTTTTCTCTGTCAGTAAATGAGTGAAGCTGTGGCCTCAGGCGTCACAGCCCATCCAGCAGGGTCACAGCAGGGACAGTAGTGCTGGCACTGCCTCTGCTTTGGGAAAATCAGAGTTCAGGCTCCTGCACAGGTCTGTACATCAGGTGTTGTTTATTTTGCTGACAGCTCTACAGAAATCCCCTACCCAAACCTGTAATTGTCGGATGTTCTGTTATCCTATTCCTGCTGCCAGTTATTATCTGCTGAGATTATCAAGGGTAACTTCACCTGGACTAATTGTAATAACTGACAAAGCCTGAGGGCAAGAATTCTGTCTCAGCAGTGCAAGGAGGGATTAGGTGTGTGTATATGCCATGTAATTTGCTGAGAGGTGTCTATGTACAGATCTGTCAGGAGAACTGTAAAATCGTTTGAAATGTTGCAAGGGATGGATGTGTGGTGATAGGAGGCTCAACTTTCTTCAGCCTTTGTTGCATTATCCCACTGAAGTGAATTTCATAGGCTTTTTTCTGCCCTTCCTGTATAAGCTGGTGTCAGGCTCCTTGAGAAGGCACTTATGTTCTTGAAGGATTATTGTGCTAATTTAGCTTTCATTTCATCAGGTATCAAGGCTTGATTTTATCCTGCTGTTTGTTGCTCTGTCCTTACTGGGAATTACTGACACCAGAGATGTTGGGGATTACACTGAAGATGACTGAGGTGCAGCAGGGAAATGGTTTTTGATTTCTACTTGCTTTGCTGTCCTAAAGATCCTACAAGATCCTAAAGATCCTACAAGATCCTAAAGAGTGTGGTTATGGCTGAATCACTCAGCAGTGCTGGTTAAGGCAGTCAATCTGAGCAGCAGAGCCTGACAGATTTTTTTGTCAGAATCCTTTAGAGGATGCATGTAATGAATCTTTTAGTAACTTTAGTGGGCAGTTGTTTTCAGCCAGCTGAAATATTTCCTGTGCTAAGGAAGACAGACTTTCCACGTGAAAGTCATGATGTGCCCACATCCCCTGGTGGGGGATATTATTGCCTTAAAAGAACTCCAAAGAATGAACTCAGTCCTGCTAATGATGGTACTTGTTACCAGTACACAAACAAAGGACACTGAAAATTAATTTTTATATATTTTCCTTGTTTTTAGCCTGAAATCCACTCTTACCCTCCCCCCCAGAAAATGCTTTTGCTGCTTTGTTTCCAGACACACTTCAAATGTAGAGTGTCCTGGAATATTTTATCCTGAAAAATAGAGAAATGCAGTTCCTCTCAGGGACTTTGTTGGACTCAAACTACACGTGGTGCTTAAAGAAATGGGAGAAATGTTTTGGTTTGCTCCATTACACTGCTACAACTCCTGAGTGTTTCCCAACATCTCTGGTATCCAAATGGGCACTGGTAGCACCGGGATGGTTTTTAGGTTTTTGTGCTGGGGTTGTGCTTTGCCCCTTTCCCAGAGCTGGGAAATGCCCTCTGCAGAAGGTGGGAAACTTGAATCCTTGGGATTGAGTCCTGAGGCACAGGATGCAGTGTTCCCTGTGCTTCCTGCACCAAATGCCACGGGAGCAGGGATGGTTTTCATCTGGGTGTGATGTGGGGCTGGCTCAGCTTGCAGGGGTGAAAGATGAGTGTCACTTCCAGCACTGGCTCTGGGAGCACACAGGGGCTGCTCTGCCCAGGGAAGGACAAACCAGAGCTTTGCAGACAGGAAAAAAGCTGCTCAGGGGGGGATTGGATTTCTCCAAACAAAATGTTATCCAAAAATATTCCTGGGGTTCAGATGAGCAGCCAAATGCAAATGGTTGCACTTTTTCTTCCGTATATGTTCTCAGGCTCTCTAGCAGCCCCAATGATAATATCCCAATTTTTCCTCCAAAAATGTGCACAAAAGACATCTCATTTGGTTACTAATAAATAATACAGAATTCAGTTAAATCCTAGTGAAAATACACCGTTTCTGTGAGGAATATTGCTCAGACTGAACGTGGGACTTGAAATAATTTCCAAATTTTAACTCCATTTGTGTGTAAGGAAAACATTTGCAGTACTTGGTGAAAGCTGTTGCAACCTGAGACAGTATTTGTTCTTGGAACCTATATTTAAAAAGTTCTTGTGCAGTTCAAGGAGACCAATAGTTTTCTGAGCAAGAGCTTTTCACATTTTGGAGGACTATAAAGATAAAAATGGAAATGCTTAATGCTGTGTTTTTAAATTTTGACTGAGAAGCAACTCCTGTTTCATTCTGTTGCGTGGATTTTTTGGCTTTTATTACTTTTCTCATCACTGCATAGAGTTCTGAAATGAGTTATTTTTGTATATGTAGAGAAAGGATTTTATAACCTTCAGGATTTTTCCATTTTGCCTGAATTTATCAAACATTTGTTCAGATGAAGTGAAAGGAGAGGCAGCTTCAAGTGTCTCTTTCCTGTTGCACAGAGCTTGATCCTTTCTGAGTTCTGCAGAATTTCCCAGTTTGAGCCAAACTAGGAAACATTTTAGATACTTTGTGCTCATTCATCTTTGATGTTTGGGATTTGGGACTTTGGTGGTTTATTTTGGCCATCAGCCCGGGTGAAAATGTGCTGGAAAAGGGGTGCACCTGGCAGGGGAGGGTCTGGCAGCCCTTTCCTGTCCTGCACCAACACTTTCTGCCCTGGGTCAGTTTTAATCCAAGTTATTTCTGGGGTTTCCAGCTCATTTCTGGATCCTGGCATGTCTGAAGATGCAGGAGGATCACCTCTGGACAGCACAAGCACTAAATACTTCAAAATTCACTTGTAGTGCCTGCTTGCCAGGGTGGATTTTTTGGGTTTTTTGTTATTTTCTTGTGTTTTAATGACGAACTTGCCCTCTGTGGGACCAAGCTGGTGGAGCTTTGGAGGGAAAACGTCGTTCAGTGAACTTTGGGATTTGCTGTGTCTTTGCTAAGGGGCTGGTTCAGAAATGCTGGTAATGAATTGTTAGAGAGTCCATGATAAATGCTCCATCACATACTTTGCATGCATTTTATTTTTAAAAAAAATCAGTTCAAATGCATTTTTTGTACAGATGGAGCGGTTGGAGGTTTACCTGAAGCCCCTGATGTGGTGTTAGAGATGTGCTGTAGCTCAGCCCTTACAGGCACATGATGAACAGCAGAGAAACACAAGCCATGGAGTCCTGCAGCAGTGCCAGCTCCTCAGTTGGTTTGTGTTTATAAGCAGATGCTTCTTCTTTAATCTGGGGAGAGATTGGAGCATTCTCCACAGAGGGGCTGATTTACCAAGAGATGCAATCAATTTGTTTCCAAGCACAGACATGTCTGGGATAATACAACACAGGCACACCAATAACAATGCTGTTTTTAATGCTTTCTTCTTATTTTTCATTTTTTACTGACTAGGGTTATTAAAAAAAAAAATCATCTGTACCACTTTAATTTTCAGGGGAGAAGGTACTGGGGAGCAGGATTACAGATGTTCACATGCCCAGACCTTGTAGGGGTATTAAAAAATGAAAAATCTGCAATATTATTTGCCATGGCAGCTGCAATGATTGACCTGTTTTTACTTCCAGAAACTTTGTTTATATTAGAAGCTTTATATCTCAAATAAAATTAGTTTTATGTGAAGGGGAACTACACTGGTGATGATTTTGTTTAGGAAATAATGTCAACACCCCAAAGCATTTCTGGTCTTTGATTTTTCCAGTGTCCAATGGAAGCCTTGGGTAGGGGCTGAATAATGTCTGGTTCTGACTCCTGTTGCAGCACACAGAGAATGTCTTGACAGCTTCCAAACCAATAATATCTTACTTATGTTTCAATATATGAATAACAGTCCAGGCTTTCTAGAGATTAACTTGCTGTGGTGCAGTTCTGTAACATGCTGCAGCCAGATGAATGGAAACCCTTCAGCATTGGGAAGAACAGGAATATATCCCTTTTAAAAATGTGTGTTGTAGCAGGGATGTGCAGGGACATTGTTTCACTGAGCCACACTTGTGTTCTTTTAATTAAGAGGTGCAGTTAGCAGAGCACATGATGCTCCTTCCTCTTCATGCTGTTTCTTTCCTCTTTTCTAATCTCTGCTCTCCAGTGTGGTTTTTCTTCTTCACGGTCCTTGGGAGTCTTGTTTTTCCAAAGGGATCCCCTGCTGACTATTCTGAGGTCTGTTTAAGCAGTTTCTTCAGCTCTGCTTTCAAAGAAGTTGTTCCCTTTGATTCCTGAAATCATTGCTCTGCTGTCTGCTGGTGTCTTTGTGGTGCAGAGATGGGGAAGAGGCCAAAGAGCTCTGGTGCTTCTCTGTCCATCTGCTGTGGTGAAGCCTCATCCAGCTGGGATGTCCCTGGGATCCCTGGGCTGGCACCGAGGCTGGGGGCTGTGACAATGACTCTTGGCAAGGACAGACTGGTGGGAGGCCATTCTGGGCAAACTGGTGCTGAAAAGCTGGAAAAGGGCACTGCTGCAGATGTCTCTGGTGCTTCCCAGCAGGCAAATCCTGCGGCAGGGTCTGGTGTTTTATCAGCCCCAGCAAGAAGTGAGAACTCCTCCCGCTGATCTTCTTCCCCAGGCAGTGGCTGTGGGGAGGGAAAACGCCTCCAGCTGTTACCTCCTCTCTAGTTGTTTACTTATTAATTTTTAAGTGTATTTAAATTTTTTTCATTTAAGAGGTTACTGATATATTGAAATGGGTTGATTGGTTTTCTGTGATAACTTTAGAGCGGTAGGTGTTGTTGTGGTTTCTATCAAAAACTTATTTTTATCTTCACTCCCCACTGGGACAGCACATCTCTCTCTTATACTGTGATGGGCTTTTGTACTGTGAAGGGATGGAGGTTGTTGTTTTATTGATTTCCCCTTTGTTTATCAGCTCCCTTTGCCCCACTTTACCTTTTTTCTTCTGTTGCCAGTGAATGGTGCTAATTTATTCTTGTCTCGGGGAAATCTTTGAAAAATTAGCAAGTGCCCTTTGCAGTAATATCTGCTGGTTCCTGGATGGCTGTGGTGGCAGAATCTCAGTGCTCAAACCGGGCACATCTGTGTTTGTTCAAGGAGCAACGGGGGATGCAGCGGATGGGAAAGCGATGAAGTTTGCTGAGGCACCAGGAACTGGCAGGATAACTCAAGGAAAGTGTTCAATAACAATCTCTGCTCAAGGCCCCAGTCCAGCAGAGCACTTACCAGAGGCTGGGACTGTAAACATGCAGCTGATTTCAACGGGCCCAGCTCAGTGTTCAGCGTCAGATCCCGCCTGAGTGCCTTCGACTGAGCTGTCAGAGTTGTTTTTCATTTCCAGGAGTGAGGCCTGAAAGTCAGACCTGGCTGCTGCTCAGTGGTGTCCTGGGGCATCCAAGAGCTCACTGAGGCTTTTCAGGGCTCTGCCCCTGCTGCTGCTGCTTTTCCTGCCACTTGCAAATGTGTTGCTTTTTCCTCGCCTGTTTTCCTGCTCCCAAGCCCAATGATTTCTGCAGAATGGGAATCTGGAAGATGCAAATCACTCACTGCATGCCAGGGCACTGCTGTCACTGGTCATGTTTTCCAAGGGCCTCAACCCAGCTGGTGAGGTGGAAGAGCAGAAAGGGAAGGAGCAAAAGAAGCAGTTATTTAGAGGTGTCTTTCTCCTTCACTGCCATTAAATACATGCACAACTCTCACTTTTATGTACATACACATAAAACTCGAGGTAAGTCTTGAAAATACATAGATAATCTCTTTTTGTGACTCTTCCATCCATTTTAGAAGACTTTCTTAAGGAAATGGGATTTTTTCAAGCAATTCTTTCCATATGACTTTGATTAGTGGGAGGAACTTTCCTAGTGGGTTGATCCCACAAACCCTTTCTTTTGCAAGTTGTCTTTACTCCAGAGGGCTGAGTGCTGGCTCCAGGGAAATCTGCCCTTCAGGGAATGACTGCTGCAGGTTTGCCATGGGCTCACAACAATCCAACTGAAGCTGGATAATAATGTTCACCCACCTGTGTAATGCAAGTTCAGATCCTTCAATGAAAGGCCCTTCTGTGCAAAAATACAAGGTAGCACTATTGGGGGGAGGGGGCCATTCTGTACCTGCAACTTTAGACTATTTACAGTGAATTTAGGGGAGTTTCATTAAGGAAAAGGTGTAGCTGGTTTGCACTCCTGTGGGGTGCAAAGAAATAATATTAAAGGACAACAAAGAAATAATATTGCTATCTTAGTATTGGCAAAAATGTGAAGGATGGTTTTCTAATCCTTTAAGTGTGGAAATTCTGCTGCTGCTGTTCTTGCCGAATATTTCTGTTATTGAATATATATATATATATATATTGAATATTCTGTCTGCCTCTTCCTCTCCTGGATTGTGTGTCCGTGTGATTTTTGACTAAATAGCAGCAGGGAGAAGAAGGGGAGGTAGCAGAAGAAAAAGCAAAAAGTGAGAACATTATTTTTTTGCAGAGGAAAAAGGTTTCAACAGGTGGATGATGAAGAGGAGTGAAGACAACAGTCAAATTTGCTAATCAATAATGCTTCCAGAATATAATATTTATTGTGTGTTGTACCTGTGGGGCCTGGACAAGGTTTATGGCACTGTCCAGGCTGTTCCAACTGCTGGGAAGGAACTGGAAACTCCTTTCTCTGGAACTTCCACAATGTAGATTTCGGTGGTGGTGATGGCAGTGGTGAAACTCCAGTGACTAAAATAGGAGTTTGCCCCTCCCTTCAATATATATTCAAGAAAGATGGAGAGGAACTTTTTACAAGGACATTTAGTGACAGAGCAAGGGAGAATGGCTTCAAACTGAAAGACAGGAGGTTTGGGTTGGATATTAGAAATAAATTCTAGTCTGGGAGGGTGGGCAGGCCCTGGCACAGGGCGCCCAGAGGAGCTGTGGCTGCTTCTGGATCCCTGGCAGTGCCCAAGGCCAGGCTGGACACTGGGGCTTGCAGCAGCCTGGGATTGTGGAAGGTGTCAGGGTTGAAACAGGATGAACTTTAAGGTTCCTCCCAGCCCAAGCCATTCCAAGATTCCATGATTCTGTGTGACGATGTGTGAGAGGAGGAAGGGTAGCCCGGAGCAGAGATTTGACCAAAAGTCACCAAACAGGTTAAAAATAAAGTCCAAGGTCTCCCAAGCCTGCAGCAGCACTTTAGATATTCTCCCCAAAACAATTCTTGAGAAGTAAATGAAAGAATATAGAAAATGATGAAATAAGCAGGAGCCCTGTTAATCTTCAGCCATGGGGGATATGTGCATGCAGCACTCACTGAAGGTCCCAGAATGGTTCCTACAGAAGCCTCAGGGCAGGAAACACACCTGACAAAGCTCTAATTTGGAGACCTGTTTAAAACACCTTTCCATAAGGCTTTGTTTCATATTCGCTTGGCTGAATCTTCTGACAAATTTTCCTCGAGCTTTACGTGCACAAACTGTATCGTTGTTTTGGAAAATGCGAGCCTGACCACTGTAAATGGGTTTATATTTCCAACAGGGCAGTTATTTAATTTCCTGTTGGAAGTCTGCAAATGTTGGCACTGTTCACTCTCTGGCAGGCAGCCAGAGGAGAGCACGGTATCATTAACAGGCTACAGCCCAGTGGAGATTTCTTTTGGTTTCATCCAAACTGTTAAGACTGGGCTATAACAAAATATGATTTTTGATTGAACTGCATAAAGCAGGCAGGGAGATCAGGGAAAAGGGGCTGACAGGATGTGCTCTGGGATGAGAACAGCTTTTGTCCTTCCTTACCTACTCTTGGGCTGGACCAGTCCTGGTTTTGCTGCAGATTTAATCTTGCTGTGTAGTTTTCCACTACAGCAGCTTAGAATGAAGGCTGAGAGCTAATTCTGGAATTGGCTCTTTGGGTACAAACCCATTCCCCGTGCAGTTATCTTCCTTGGGATCCATGGCACGTGGTTGGGGCTCTGGTAGTGACAGTGACACAACTGTAAGTCCTGAAGCCACCCAGGTGTGTTCCCAAAGGATCCCTCAGCATCCAGAGGCCTGAGCTGGCTGGAAAATGCCATCTTCAGAGACAACCAGAGTCTGGTAAACAAAAAAGGTATTTTTGTTCAGAGTTTGTTTTAAATACCCCGACTCAAGTCAGCAGAAATTAATTAGACTGGTTTGCTGTGAAGACACATCATTTATTTCGGGTGTCTGGCACAGGCTCTCTGTACCTGGTGGTGCTTCAGGTGAGGCCCTTTCCCCACGTGGACCTTCTGGTGCCCCATTCCTGCTTCCCAGCTTTGCTCCTGGAATTCTCCATTTCAGTGAGGTTTGCAGTGGGGACAAACTCTTAAACCTCCAGCTTGAATTCAAGGGAGCCAACTTCATTTTCTTCTGTGAGTTTTCCACTTTGAAAGGAGCTATTTGTGGAAAACAAATGGTCAAATGATGTGGGAGGCTCTTCATCACTTGGGAGCCTTTAAATCAGGGCTGACTTGGGGAGCAATGTGCTCACAGGAGCAGTGGGATGTGTGCAGAACCACTGGATATAGGGAATCGTGGCATGTGTCATGCAGGGGAT